TGGTCTTATTCTTTACTGTTTTGTTCAATTTTATTATAACTGATGATATAAGCAATTCTTTCTAAGATAACAAGAGGCATTATGGTAACCATTGTTGATCACCTTGTATTTTGTTTTTATATTATGTATTATGTCCACCTTTTTAATTTGATGACTCTGTCCTGTTATTTCACATTTGGTTTTACTGTCTTCAAAAAAAAAAAAAAAGTAATAAGAACTGTGGGAGTAATAAAACCCAAAATATGTAATTGTCATTGTACAAAAGAAAGGAAAAGAAAGTGCTCTAAAGGATATAACTGCATATATATTTAAGTGTATAAGATAGATAACATATTACTGAGTTTTGCTGGATCATTGAACAAAACTGTTTGCAGGCTCACTGTTTGAAAGTCCCCTCTATATGCTTTAATTTTGTAACTTGAACACCTATTTCTAAGATGACAATACGTAATTAACTAGTGATTTCCTACTGTTTATTTTTTCTGAAATTCTGTATAACTTGTACCCTTCTTCTGTTTTTTTTCTTTTTTCTCCTTACATTTTTCTCCTTAAAATTAAAAAAAAAAAAAAGTAGTAACCATCAATGTAAATGTCCTCAACTCATCAATCAAAAGAAACAGACTGGCAGAATGGACCAAGCAACAAGATCCAACAATATGCTGCATGCAAGAAGCACACTTAACTCAAAAAGAAATTCACAGACTGAAAGTCAAAAAGTAGAAAATAATACTTCAGATGACAAGATCCCAGAAAAAACCAGGGGTACCTACTATAATTGCAGACAAAGTAGATTTCAAACCAAGACTGATCAAGAAATACAAATAAGGTCAGTACATTCTTGTTAAGAGTACAATCCAAGAGGAAGAGACAACAATCATAAATATATGTGCACCAAATACCAGCACAACCAACTATATAAAACAAATGTTAAGGAACATGTGAAAACTCAAACAATAATGCAATTGCAATGGGGGACCTCACTGTGACAAATAGATTAACTAGACAAAAATCAACGATGAAATGCCAGAACCAAACCAAACTTTTGAACACACGGACCTAATAGATGTCTACAGAATGTTCCATCTCACAACAGAATACACAATTTTTTCAACTGTACTCAGCAAATTCTCCAAAACAGACTACACATAAGCTGACAGAACATGCTTAAGTGCATGCAAAGGTACTGAAATTATCCCATGCATATTATCAGATCAGAGTGCAATGAACTGGAAATCAGCAGTAAAAGAAACTATAAGAACTTCATAAACACATAGAACTTAAATAACAGCCTCTTGAACAACCAATGGGTCACAAATGAAATTTTAAAAAGCAATTAGACAATTTCTATGATTAAGTGATAACTGCCAATACAACATACTGGAACTTATGGAACACAATGAAAGTGGCCCTACAAGGGAAATTTATAGCAATGAATACTCATATCAGAAAAACAGACCATGCTGGCCAGGCATGGTGGCACACACCTGTAATCTCTGCACTTGGGAGGTTAAGGCAGGAGTACTGCCATGACTTTGAGGCTAGTCTGGGTTACATAGTGAGTTCAAGGCCAGCCTGGACTACAGAGCCAAAAAAAAAAAGTTAGCAGAACATGTAGTCACCAGGAGTTCAAAACAGGTTTAAGGTAACCGCAGTTCCAGTGGGAGAAACAGAGTCTAGCAGAGTTAACAGAAAAGACTCAAACGGTGACAGGACATACATTCAGCGCAGAGAGTACGAGACTACTGTGCATTCAGGAATAAAGCCCAGGGAGAATTCTTCCAGCTAGAAAGTACCTCTCAAAAGAAGCCTGGTACTCTATCCTAGCTCCAGAAAGTATAGTCATAATATTAGGAATCAAATCTTTCCTTATCAGCTTCAATGGACATTTGTCAGAGCAATGGTTCACCAGTCTGACTCACCATTGGATCCCCCATCAATCAGTCAGGAGTGAAGACAAAGTCTTCAAAGGTGTACACTTGGGGTCCTGGGTGAGAAGTCTGGGGGTCCAATGATGAATCTGATTGGATCCAAGCCACAGGAACCTAACTGTTAAAGAAAAATTATTCAAAGATATTTGTTAAACCATGATAAGACAGACTTGATTCAAGACCATCTCATTCAGTGTAGAAACCACTGCAATGAAATTTTGCAATGGCAGAGAAATTTGGCTCAAGCACAAATACAGAATTGGCCAAGTAGAAATTTATAGCCATGGAGAAGGTGAGGATCAGTGGACAGAAAATTACACTAAGGAGGATTCTGCCCAAATCAACCTAAGAGGATTCTTCCTGAAGACAGGCCAGGATGTGCAGACATCACCTGGTGAGTGGTATGTACCTAGGAACCTGAACTGAGAAACATGAGCATATCCTGAGGGTACCCAAACATCCACATGAGAGTTCCTACTAAATTGGTTTAGCAGTTGGTAATACTGTTTTACAAAAAGGTGACAGAGGCCCAGGAAGTCAAGAGCATAAGATCTGGTCAAGCAAGGAATCTGTCCCAACTCCCAAACTACTACACAAATCACTAAAGATTAAAACTACAATATTTACTTTCACCTATATCTAAATTAATGTTGAATTGGGTTCTTGTAGCAACAATTAAAATTTTCTTGCTGGTCCTCAGGTTATCACTACCAAAATAAGTAAATAAACAAACAAATGTACAACCAATTTGCAGTAAATTATGTGTCCTTACACATAAACCAAGGCTCAAAGAAATTCCTCAAAATATTTCAAGAGACCTCCTCATTCCATAGAAAAAGCATTTTAAAAATCTAGTAGATGCCAGGGATATAGATCAACGGTACAAGTGCATGCCTGGCAAGCATGAGATTGAGTCTGATCCCTGGAACAAAAAACTAAAAACAAAACAACAACAACAAAAAAGACAAAAAAAAAAAAAAAAAAAACAAAAACAAAAAAACACCCAGAAAATCATAATTTAAAAGACAAAACAATCTGGCAGATGACACAAGAGGATTGCTACAAGTTTGAGGCCAGGCTGGGTTACAAATTAAGTTCAAGGCCAGCCTGAACTGAAGAGTAAGACCCTGTCTCAAAAAACAAAAAATAAAAATTAAAAATCAGTCAGTCTAGCAAAAGGCTAAGAATGTAGCTCAGCAGTAGAGTGCTTGCCTAGCGTGCATGAGGCCCTGAGTACAATCCCTAGTCCAGTGCTACAAAACAAACTAGCAGAAAATACTGATAATGGCTTTTATAACTTTTTTTCGGGGGGGGGGGGTGCCAGGGTTTGAACTCACAACCTCACGTTTGCCAAGCAGGCACTTACTCTGCCGAGCTAAACCCCCAGCCAACATTTCCATTTTTATAGTTAATAGTATTCAACTTTTGCTATGTGCCATGCACAGCATTTTCTCAAACACTCCAAGTTTCCTAATGATTTAAGAAAAACAAAAGACAGAAAAACCAAACCAAATCAAACCAAAGTATCTAATTCCTCATGGCTTACTTGGCTTCACACGCTCTGACTCCTGCTTAACTCTGACTACATCTCATTCTTTACCCAATATTCACATGCTTTGCCACTTCATTTCAGTAAGGTCTTTATTCAAAGGCTGTAATTTCAGGAGAGTCTCTTCTCAATACTGTATCTAAAATAGTAATTCCTGTCACTCTATACCTCTGACCTGGTTTTACTTTTCTTTAGAAAACATATTACCTGATAAGAGATCCTATATCTGCCTATTATCCAACTTCCTTAGAATTTACTGTTATATGCTACAAAACTTTATCTTGTTTATTCTTGCATTTTTAGCATTTAGGACAGTACCTCAGATAGTAGACAATAACTTTCAATAAACAAATTATCTTATGTTTACCAGCATATAATCTTGAAGGAGCTGTTATTCTCATTTGATAGAAAACATTGAGTCTCAGGCTAAACAATCTGCCCATTGTTACACTCTAAGGGAAGGAGCAAGGATTTGTATTTTTTTGTATTTTTGTATTTTTACCGGTACCAGGGATCGAACTCATGACCACAGGCTTGCCAGGCAGGCACTTATGCTGCTGAGCTAAATTCCCAGCCCCAGGAGCACGGATTTGAATCTAGGCAGTTTAAAATCTAACACATGTCCAGTGCATCTCAGATTATCTATGGTATAAAGCAGTTTTTAAAATTTCTAACTATTAGATCAGTGGTTTTAAAAACTATGACAAAATAATAACAGTAATAATAACAGTAATAATAACAGTAAAAATCGAGTTTTTAAAAGGTAAAAAATTACATATTTTTGTCAGGCATGGCTGCAAATGCCTATACGCTCAGCGATCTAGGAGGCTGAAACAGGAGGATTTCCCAGTTTGAGCCTAGCCTAAATAACTCAGTGACTTAGCAAGACCCTGTTTCAAAAATTAAAACAAAACCAAAATAACAGGCTAGGGATATAGCTCAGGGGAAAGACGCTGGGTTGAAAGCCCACCACCACAAAAAATACCTTTTTTCTATTACAAGTACTAACTGTTCTTCAACAATTTGGCAGTTTGAATAGACTAGAGACATTCTCTTTGATACTTATATTGAAAGTTCTAGATCAATTCACAAACTAAAAACAAAAAATCACAGATGATACCTAAAGTTTAACCCATCCAAAGGGTAAGACCTGGGAACACATTTCTGATAATCTTAGCAACATTTTAGTTTCCAATCATAATGAACAGCTGGCTGTGCACACGTGCCACTGTGATGGTCCAAAAAGCAACAGAGAAGAGGGGGGAAAAAGAAATAGCATATATGTAAAGCATCGGCAGAAGTGCTAAGGTTTCCTAAACATGTGCACTAGAACTACATTATCAATGTTTGATATTTTAAAATTTCAGTCAGTCACTAATATCACTGAAATATTAATAGATTGTTTTCTTTTCTGCCTAAACTGCATACTTCTAGAAACATCTGGGTCACCTTCATCACAATACAAGCACAAAAGCACACACAGTGATCTGGTATCAAAAAAAGAGAAAATGTAAGTTACTTACAGTTCTTTCAAGTGAGTATGAGAAAAAGCATTTTCTTGGATAGACATTATAGCATTGTTGTTCAAATCTCTGAAATGAAGAGAAATGGAACATTACTAGTCACCTTCTTCCCAGCTAAGTCACATAAACACTTTTTTTATGCTTGTAACAACCTCGGCTAACAGCAGAGATTATTTATACAGTGAAAATCTATGTAAAGTACTTACAGATGCTCAAGAGATTCAAGACCAACGAATGCTTTCTTTGTAATTGACTTAATCTGGTTTCCTTGTAAGATTCTGAAATAAAAATAAATTCATTAAACTTTCACCTATAAAAGGAAAAAATAAGCTTAAAGTGTTTTTTTATGTACTTCTATCATGTTTACTGGGGTATAATTGATTTTTTAGATTATAATTGATAAGAACATTCATTTCTAAGAATGCTATAAACTGAAGAACTTACTAATCAATGTAAAGAACAGCATAAAGGCTTCTACTATGGTGTTGGAGCTCAGTGAACAACCAGTCTGACCACTAATAAACTGAGATAAACTGAGTTAAATTCCTCTTTTTTTCTCTTCTTAACAAAAGACTCTGTAACTTCTCTCTTAGAACCCATAGGAGTGTTTTACCAATAAAAAGTGTCCTACTAACAACAAACCACTGATAAACAACAAAGCTCCTTCATTAAAGAAAATGGGTCAAAACACTTCCAACTTTTTGGCTGTATCAAATAAACAATCTTATCATGTTTACAACTGGTCTTGAAAATATACCTTTGTAGATATACACAATCATTATGAATACACACAATTTAGTGAGACTTGTAAGTCCAGTAAAGGCTTCACTAGCATCTTCTATGGCCCATGAAATTTCATTGTTTCTTAAGTCTCTAAAAAAACGTCAAAGAAAGAGATGTTAATCAACACCACCATCATACCATCAAGCACATCCAGTATGGCAATGCCATGTACACATGCTAATTTTGAACCTTATTTTAAATTACTTATGAAGTATTTTAAATTACTTATGAAGACTCAATTCCCCTTTAAAAAAAAAAGAATTTTTAAGCTTTGTAATAAATATGGAAAAACTGCTTCTTGTAAGCAAAGATTTAAACTAGCCTTAATAAATAAATTAAGCAACCTGCTAGGAGTATCAATCTTCCCAGTTGACATTTGATTTTGTTAGCATTATTAAAAATTACAGACAAGTCCCTTCAGAAAGAAAAAGGGTTTCAAAATATAGGAGATAAAGATTACAATCTGATTTCACACTAATGGGATTTCAGGTTATCCAAGCTTCCCTCTGGGCCCTTAAAATGGCTGACAAAGAGTAATACCAATACAAAGCTTCACAGCTCAAAAGCAATTAAAAAAGCCTCCTGGGAAGCAAAAATGATACACCCATGTGTTAGAGTAGTCACTGTATCTTCTTTAAAAGAGAAAGTGTGGATCATTTAAAATCCACTGTTCCATTCTCAGAGGAAATGCAATTGTACCACATCATGTACTGATGGAAGAAACACAAGTTAAAAATATTTAATCACTTTTGTTTCCTTAAGCCATCTAATAATAAAATGCAAAGCTTTTCTCTTTGTAAAACATACATAACGTCATGTCAGTAACAGTAAGGAAGCAGGAAATCCCTCTTTTTGCTGAGCTATCTTTCCCTGAAGTGAAAGCTTACAGTTTATTTTATGAAGGAATAACTACCAGCAGTTTGTCACTTCAGAACTTCCCTCCTCCACCGCAGGGCATAAGCAGAAGTCACTCACAAAGCCAGTAAAAGATGTGTTTACTCTTACAAGAGTACTGGGCTAGCGCCAGAGTTTCAACTCTGATCCTAATTCTGCCTTACTTCTATGATATTAAACAACTATTTACTTCCTTAGATACTTTCCTAAACTTTAATTCTAAAAGTAATAAGCAGTTTAGGGTATACTGAAAAAACCTGCTTGCCATCCCTTCAACTGTCAAAAGGCTGCAGCAAATTCTGATGTAGTTTCTGAGTTTGCACTGATTTAGTTTCACCTGATGATGTAGAAAGAAGAGGATGACTTTTTAATTTTTCAAGGCCAAATCTGAAGAAAGCTAAAAGAAAAATCAAAACATACACTTATGTGTATACAGATACATGTTTCCTTCTCATTGGTTAGGTACCAAAGTTGGGAGACTACCTCTTTTCTGAAACCATTTATCAATTATGAACCTGATGACTACCAAGTTTCTTACTAAGGAGCCATTAAAATCTACAAATTTAGCCAGGCATGGTGGCATACTCCTGTAATGTCAGCATGCTGGGAAGCTGACACAGGAGAAACACAAGTTTGTGCCCAGTCACTTACAAGATCCTGTCTCAAAATTAAAACAAAGCAAAAAAAATGTTTTTTGAGAGACAGAGTCTCGCTATATAGTTCAGGGTGGTCTTGAACTCCTGGTGATCCTCCTACCTCAGCCTCCCAAATACTGGGATTACAGGTGTGTGTCACTATGCCCAGGTTAAACAAAAAACTTTAAAAGGTGTGGGAATGTAGCTCAGTGAGAAGGCTCTGAGTTCAATTTCTAATATTACAAAAATTAATAGACAAATTTACAAATTCTGTTAACTATTTCTTTCTTTCCTCTCATTTTGCTTCATATTTGGAACTGCTAGTATTTAAAACCTCTTCAACTTTCAATAAAATTATATTCCATGACTGGGCAAAATATTCAATTTACAAACCACAGGATTTTACAGTTAAAATTGCCTTTAACAACCATCTATCTAATCATAAGTGAAGAAACAAAGAAAATGATGATCAGGAAGAGCTAAAGTAATTTTGTTTATCTGATGGTATAAAATGCACCTTAGCATTTGTATCAAACATTTAGATTACAATCCTGATCCAAACACTATTATAAGGTATGTGCCTTTAAGAAATTATTTTAAACTGGGTATAGTGGTACATGCCTGTAACCACAGCACTGCAGAGGTCAAGGCAGGAGGATCGTTTTAAATTCGAGATCAGAGTGGGCTACAAAGTGAGCTCAAGGCCAACCTGAACAGTATAGCAGAGTCCCTATCTCAAAAACAAAGCAAAAACAAAAAACCCAAGAAATTATTTTACTCTCCTAAACCTCAACCTAGTAGGAAAAGAAATAGTACCATCCCAGTACTTGAAAGCACCTGGTACATATCACCTAATAAGTATCAGTTTCTTTCCAAAGTCAGGTAGCAAACTATTAATAGTGAACACAGCTGCTCCCACTACATCTCCTACATCCTTTTGAATGATAATTGTTCTGGTACACTGTCAAGACCAGAAGCAAGAAAATTACTGCATTTTTTTGTTGTTATTGTTTTGGTACTGGGAATCGAACTTAGGACCTTGTACTTGCCAGGCAGGCACTTATGCCACTGAGCTATATCTCTGGTCCATTATTGCATTCTTGACACTATCAGCTGTATTTCATACAGCTGGCAAAATAAGGCAGTCCTTACTGTTTATGTCACTAAGTCATAATTAAAATAAAAAATGAGTAATCCTAGCATTCAAGAGGCTATATACCAAGGGTTGGTCTCAAAAAAAAAAACCCAGAAAGTGCCTACTTTAGGCCTAAGATTTTTATTTATGGGATATAAACAAGTACAACTGTCTTGCCCTGAGGCACAAGGCAACAGCATTACCATAATAAAGTTACACACTGGGGCTGGGCTGTAGCTCAGTTGCACTTGCCTCACATGTACAAGGCCCTGGCTCAACCACTAGCAGAGCAAGAAAACAAACAAACAAACAAACAAAAAATAAAAGGATACACTTACAATGTCTGAAGATTAGAAAGAAACCTAAACACACCATCAGCAATATGAGTGACTCTGTTGTCTCCTAAATTCAGTCTCTCCAGTAAACTGAGACCCACAAAGGCAGATTCATCCAGGCGGGTCAGCTGGTTATAGGACAAATCACTAAAAACAGGAAATACGGAAGGTAAGGAATTCATTATGTTTTTGGGTCAACTTAAATATTTATTATATTTACATGATTAACTTAAAGCTTCTAATAAAACTTCTAGGAAAGAGGGACAACATATCTCATTCATTACTAGTCATAGGAATGATTTATTCCAACCTACTCTAATCTCAGCCTCTGATGAAACACTACCCAACACTTACAGTTCAGATAGTCTTTGGCAGAACTCCCATGCATCAGGGCTGATTTTTTCAATAGCATTCTGGCTCACATACAGCTGCTGTAACATTCGCAAGCCATATAACCACCCCTTATTCACTCGTGTAAGGTTATTGTGTTCTAGTTCCCTGTAGAATTAGAGAATGAGATGAAAAAGTATTTCAAAATGAAGCATTTCAATGGCAAGCAGTTTCAAATCTTCGTTATACATTTCTCAGAGACCCACATATCTTTGCTCAACCAAAGTGATCCATTTCATTTGATAAATATTTGTATCTTAGGTGGGCGTGGTAGCTCATACTTATAATCCCAACACTCTGGAGGCTGAGACAAGAAGATCATTTCGAGTTCAAGGCCAGCCTAGGCTACAAAGTGAGCTCAAGGCCAGCCTGAACTGCATAGAGAGACCCGGTCTCAAAAAGACAAAAAGACAAAAAAAAAAAAAAAAAATATATATATATATATATATATATATATATGTATATATATATATATATATGTGTATATATATATATATATACATATATATATGTCTTAATGTTTACATAGTAAGACTATCTAAAGCATCACCCCTCCCAAATCAACATGGCAAGTGGTATAATACTCCTCTTCTGGATAAATTCTAATAATTTTCATCTGAGAAGTTTGTGTGAATGACAACCCAAATACCGGGTGACTAACAGAAATTAAAAGATACATGTAGGGGCTGGGGATTTAGCTCAGCAGCATAAGCGCCTGCCTTGCAAGTATGTGGTCATGAGTTCAATCCCTGGTACCGATAAAAAAAAGAAAAAGACAAAAAAAAAAAAGTTAAAACTATTTGATCCACGCATCACTGTGCTGAGAAAAAAAAAGATACATGTGAAAGTTGCAGGCTTAATTCAGTGGCAGAGAGGGTAGTTAGCAGGTACAAGGCCCCAAGTTCAATCTCCAGCCTTCCCCCAAAAAAAGCTTTGTGACTAGAGAAAGAACTAATGCACTTCTGTGAAATTAAGCAGCTGTCCTATCCATCTGGCATTGAAAAGTTCCAGACAGACTGCTTTGCTAATAATCTCCCTCTAGTTTTGTGATGGCTGAGATATAGAATGTCCCCCAAAAGCCCTATGTGTTTGGAAAGCAAGTGAATCATGAGGTGTTATACTTACTAGGATTAACCTATCAATGGATGAATTCCAAACTAAATGTGTAGTTAAAGGAGCCTGGTCAGAAAGGGTGTAGTGGGCCCTGGCCTGGTCAGAAAGGGTTGGTCACTAGGGGTGTGACCTAGAAGAGTATGGCCCTCCCTACTCCTCTCCTCCTTAGTTCTCCTTCTCTCCTCTCTTCTCCCTGGGGCCCCTTCCTGGCTGCCATGTGAGCAGCTTTCCCTCCCCAGACCCTTCCACAATACCCTTCCTATCTTGGAGCCACCTGACTGTGTAACTAAATCCACTAAAAACCCTGAGCCTTTTGTTCCAGGAAGGAGAAAGGGATTAAGACAAGTTACTAGTACTTACAGTTCTTCCATGTTATTCAAGCCAAAAAATGCTCCATCTTTAAGTTTGCTAATTCCATTCCGCTGCATTTTTAAAGATCTTAAGGAGTCAAGACCTTGGAATGTAAGGCCCTCCACAATTTTAATTCTGTTTCTTTTAAGCTCCCTTAAACAAAAAGTTTTACAATCAGAAAACTAGTCTACTCAAATGCTCTAACAATAATTAAAAAGAAAAAAACACTGTAAGGAGAAACTATTTTCTTGTAATCAATTTATTTAGTTACTCACAAGAATTGGAGGTGAGGCAGCTTGAAGATCTTAGGTGGGATCATACTAATTCGGTTCCGGTTTAACTTTACCATTAATAAGGAACTTGATAAATTATCAAAGCAACCAGCTTCCAAGGTAGTTATCCTATTATTACTCAAATTCCTAAGACGAGCAAGATAACAGCAAAAGAGAAATATTTAGGAAAATAAAAATTCTACTAAAGCCCAGCTCTATACTTAACTACACACAATTTTACAAATCATTTAACTGCTTTGTTTTTTCACCTACAAATTTAGTTATTATAGGGCTAAAATATACTTCAGTGGGGAAGTGCTTAAAAAAAATCTACAATGAAGTCCCAAAAAATTTCTTTTAGTTCTTATAATATGGTCTTTGATCCACTGTATATCATACGCTTTAGGGATCTAGTTTCATTCTTTGGTATATGTATATCTAGTTGCACAAACATTAGTTTTTTGAAAAAAACTGCTGTTTCCTCATGAATGGTCTTGACACATTTGTTAAAAAACAACTGATCATAAATATTTTATTTTTGAACTTTTTATATTTCATTTCATTGTTCTACATGTCTATCTTTATGCCAATACTACACTGTCTTGATTATCATAGCTTTGTAGTAAGTTTTGAATTTAGAATGTGTGAGTTCTGTAACTTTGTTCTGTTTACAAATCATTTTGTCTATTCTGGGTTGTGTCCCACATGAATTTTAAAATCAATTTGTTAGTTTCTGTAAATAAACACCTGAGATTTTGATAGTGAAAAAAAAAAGTCCTCAAAAATTATCCTCTAATATATTCTTTCTTTTGAGGAGAAAGTGGGCAATAACATCCCCAAAAACCCAACTCCAGGTTTATTTCACTTATGCATTCCAAAATCACAACAAATACAGACATTTGGGGGTACAGGGCGGGTGCAGGAATAACAATGAGTAATAAAAATACAATTTAAAGTAAACTTTACTTACAGGTATTTAAGCTGCATTCGAGGAAATGAAGATGTCTTAATTTCTGATATTATATTGGAGCTGAGATCTAAACTCTCAAGAGCAGAATAAAACTGGAATGCCTCTGCATTTATTTCTGGGATTAAATTATGGACTCTACAAAACAAAGATTATATTGAAATAGCTGCCAGTAATCCATGCCTGGCCACAATAATGCTAAATAATCAAAATTAACAATATGGGCACTAAAAAAACAAAAGAAAGAAAAAATATACATACTATTCCTAATTTAAGTGAAAGATCTGAGGGCTGGGGATATAGCACAGCGGCATAAGCACCTGCCTTGCAAGCAGACAGTCGTGAGTTCGATCCCCAGTACCAATAAAAAAAAAACAAAACTTTATTTAGAGGTTCTGAGAGTGGCAAAAAAAAAAAAAAAAAAAAAAGAAAGATCTGAAATCTCAATTACTTACAGTGAAAGCAGAGTAATATTAGATGTTGGTTCTCCAAAATATGGAATTTCTGTTAATTCATTGTAATTCATTTTCCTAGGCCAGAGGAAAAACATATTTAAAACTTAAAGAAGGACATGCTACCTCTTATATTCTGGTTTCTGGCTAATATGTATTCTTTAGGGTAGGTGCTAAGTTTGAAAACGTCTATTATTCAGAAAGAGTTAGACTAAGATAAAAATGAGAAATTAGAGATTTTAATAAACCTTTCCATAGTGTTGATCTACTACTGATATCAATATAAGAAAGGACAGGAAATATTTTGCACATTAAGTAACTGTAGCTCCAGAAAAATTGAAGACAGTTAATTCGAGTCCCTAAAAGGAGTTCATCCACATCTCAATCTCTCTACCTGTGCTCAAGTGTGCAGACACACACAGACACACAGACACACACACACACACATACACACATACACACACACTAAAGCTATTCAAAGTGAAGGAATGTTGTTTAGGACCACAGATGAAAAATTTGTCCATCCGGAGATCAAACTCATAACATGACATGACATGTCACATCTATTCCCAGCCCCGCCCCCCCCCCTTTTTTTTTGGTACTGGGAATTGAACTCAAGACCTTGTGCTTGCCAGCGAGGTGCTTATGCCACTGAGCTAAATCCTTGGCTCCCAGCAGACCCTTTAACAGACTGTCTCAAATGATTATGGAAGAAATCGAATACAATTACAATTCATTAACCATTTTTAAATCACAGAGTAACCTCAACAATCTAGACTACAAATAAGAAACTAAAGTATACTGTCTCTAAGAAACCAATCACAGTTGCAAAATCTATGCAATTCTGGAGCCAAAAAAAAAAAAAAAAACAACCAAAGTCTACCCAATAAAGCTCATGTGTCGCCCAGTAAAGCACCTTTTTGTCTTTACTTGGCACCTACTCATTCACCTAACAAACTTGTCAACTGTTTATTCAGTTCCATAACAAATTAAGAGCATGTACTTGGGTTCTATGAGAAAAAATGCAGGGACAAGAACATGAACAAATTAGTCCTACCAACAAAGAATTAAGGAAAAAAGAGACCTGAAGGTTCTCAGTGTTTAGTAAAGAGGGAAGAAGGTCTATGTCCCACAAATAATTGTGCCCACAAATAATTGGGAACATCACAATGCAATAGTTTGACATCAAGTATTCTTGTCCTTCTGGGAGGCTGAGGGAAGAGATGGCAAGTTAGGGAAATCCTGCATCAAAATAAATATGAAAGGGCTGAAAATACAGCTCAGTAAAAAGACCTAGGTACAATCTCTAGTAGTACATATGTATATGTATGCATAATTTTTGAAAATTCTTTCACAATTCCAAATATATATTTCATTAAAATATATATATTTATATTGGTATATGAACACATCAGTTAAGAAAACTGAATTATAGCCAGGGATTTAGCTCAGTGGCACAATACCTACCTGACAAGTGCAAGGTCATGAGTTCAATCCCCAGTACCAAAAAAAAAAAAAATTGGATTATATCAACACCATATTCTCAAATCATATCCAAAATATCCTTTCATATAAACTTACTTTAAACATGATGCTTCGATCTTACATGACACATCAAGACATTGACAGAGTTTACACAAGGTAGTTTTACTGGCTGAAAACTTGGCCAAAAAAAATACAAAACATATTTATTCTGAAGGAAGAAATCTTACTTTTAGCCCCCAGGAAGCAGAATAATATTTCAACAGTTTGCTTGAAATAATCATGCCCAGAGACTTTGTGATAATTAAGCCAAAGATAACAGTTTAGGTTTTTAAACAATTTAATTTTTTCTTCAATGTTTTGAAGCATCCCTGGATTGAATATCCCCAATTCACAATATACTAAATCACTTCAAACAGTATTAAAAAAATAAAAATAACTTACACTTCCTGTAATGTTTGTGATTCCAAGCTGATGTTCCAGTTAGATAACCGATTATGACTCAAATCCCTAAAGAAGGACAAAATATCACTCTTAATGTGGAAAGTGAACTTTTCCCACCCTTGCTTCCAGCCAGTTTCCCTTCCCAACAACAACCAAAAATACTGTATACTGTTTCTTTAAATCTATACTATGTCTTGTGTAGTCTTCCAGATACTTTATGCTACACTGAGTAAATCTTTACCTAAAAAAGGTAGAATTTATACATTATTTCACCTGTTTTTCACTTAACCTTAAGTTTCTTAGCTACCGTGGAAGAACCCCAGTGCACCATGGCAGAGAGTCTGTTTTTTTTCATTTCTTGTACTGATTATAGTATTACATTAGCTGTAAATAAATCTGAAGGTAGATTTTATAAATCAAAATACAGGGCATCTATATTAAAAATTGAAGTACACCAGTATCTTTTATAGCTTTAGCAAAGGGAAATTAATCTCATCCTAAATTATGTTAATAATGACAACAATAGTAACTAATTTATTGTGTCAGATAGTCTCCTCTATACATTATATGTACATTAGCTTTTACTTATATTAGCTGGCTAAATTCACACAAAAAGTACTTTACAAGGCGCTTTTATAATCCTCACTTTCCCACTATGGCAACAGGCACAGAGAGATTAATAATCTGTTGATCCAAGGTCACAAACCTAGTAAGGAACTCACAAACTCAAAGTTCCAGCTCACTTCTGGCAAGCAGTTTATAAAATACAGGAGAGTCTGCTGAGGTTAGTCATGAGTTGAAATACTTGAATAGGCTAAAGAAAAATTCACACTGATACTTCCTGGTGATCTTTACAAGGCTGAGATGGAAACCAATACAATGAGCTGTCTATTCAAGATATGTTACAATATGGTCAACAATAGAGGCAACCCAGAGAAGCAATACAGATCAATTTATATCACTGTGCCACCACAGGGAGTTGACAGATGCGTGCAGGTTTGAATGATGTCTCTATCATAGCAAAACAATTTGTTCTCAGCTAGATTCATGCCTGCCCATCTGTAAAACCTAACCACTTTCATTTAAGAGCTTAATTTACACATGACATAATTAAGGCTGCATTAAACTACCACTTTCCCACAACAGCTCTGAAGTCTTTATTCAAGATGTATAGGATGAGGCAGCAGTTCAAAGATACTCATGAATGAAAGGGTGTGTTGGGAAACATAAGGAGAGTAACATAAATTTGTTCCACATAAAAATCTTATATTGGACCTGGGGATGCAGCTCAATGGTTAAAAAGTCTTACATTTAGGACTAGGAGTATAACACAATGACAAGGCATATTAAAACGTGCAAAGACTGAATTCTATCTGTAGCATGAGCGCGCGCGCGCACACACACACACACACACAAAACCCTCTCTTGCTACTAAACACACAGAATTTCACAGAAAGTTTTGTTGTTGTTTCATAGCATTTCAACTGTAGCAGAAATTCAATTGCTTCATTTTAAGTAGATATTCCATATTCTGCTTGCAACTCACTGACTGGCAAATCAAGAGCTAATAACATCTGGGAGACAGAACAAGGGCCACACCAGGAAGCAAGTCAGTCTGGGAACCAGTGCCATGTGCGGGCCACTGCTAGACTGGGAACAGCCAGACCCAAGCCCTTCCTTGTGAGTCAGTGCCATTTGCGGACTGGGGGTTGAGCTAACAAGGGCACTCCAGCAAGCAAGCCCCATTTGGGAACCAGCACTACGCACAGGCTGCTGCCAGTCTGTGGACAGCCAGATCCCAGCCCTTTCTGGCACAGAGGCTGGCAAACAAGAAATACCAATCCCTCCTCCACCACCACATAAGTAACAGGCTGATCCAGAGAAACACAGGCTGTAATGGTAGCTATTGAGGCAAAATGAAATTGAGTGTCTGTGGTGCTCTAGTGTTCCACTGACTTTGCAGATCTATGGCCAGTGGCCTGATCATAGGTTCACAGGATAGTGGTATGCAGTGTGACATCTAGGGGGGATCTCCTGCAGGTTGTAGGTATTATTGATTCGCTATGGTCTTGTTTTCAGGTCCTATATCATTTCCATTGTTTTGTTGGGTTGGGGTTTATTCTCTTTTGTTTGATTATGTTAAATCTAATGGCAGGAGCAGCTATTTCAAAGTCAGCAAGATACATTATGGTACCAATTTTGAATTTACTATTGACTTGTTTTGAAGTCCTTTGTCTTGTTTTTATTGTTTCTATTCTATTCCATTCTGCTTGATTTTTACTGTGTCTGAAGTTATCTGCAGCCATTCTGAAGACAACAAAAGGCATTATGGTTAACTACTGTTGATTTCATAATGTCTTGAAGTCCTGTATCACACTGGTTTGTTTTGATTGGTTTTATTGTTTTTATCCTAAATAAAGAGCTAATAACATCTGGGTAGCAGGCTAGCACAGTATGATCTAATTCTATATTTCATTAACTCATAAAATTTAGCATTTTCCCCTCTTACAGATTCAGGGATTTCATCTTAATCACAATCATTTTCAATTTAATCATAAATTCTAGAGCGCTGGGGATGTGGCTCAGTGGTAGAGCTTTTGCATGCACAAGGCCTTGAATTCGATCTCCAGCACCACCAAAAGAAATCTTAAAAATTCTGAGTTAAAGAGCCGGGCGTAATGGCACATGCCTGTAATCCCAGTACTCGTGAGGCTGAGGCAGGAGGATCGTTGCAAGTTCGAGACCAGCTTGGGCTACAAAGTGAGCTCAAGGCCAGCTTGAACTGCATAGTGAGACCCTGTCTCAAAAAAAAAATTCTGAGTTAAAAATTTAAGTTGGGCCTGGTGGTGCATACCTATTATAAATATTCATAATGCCCTTTTGACCCCTACATACCTCTAGCAGTATAACTCTTGACTGTACTCATCCCCAAGAGTTCTTCCATGGGTATTAACTCATAATTAACATATGGTAAATAGCATGAGGTGCATGCTTGTGATCCCTCCTACTCCCAGCTATTAGGGAAGCTGAGGGAGATGGACTGCAAATTCAAAGCCAGGGCAATCTAGGGAGCTCCTATTTTAAAATGAATAGGGTTGGGGTTACAGTTCAGCAGTACTTGCCTGGCATAAAAGTGGACCTGGGTTCAATCCCTAATACAGAAAAAGAAGAGGACAAAAAGGAAAGGGAGAAGAGGGAAAAAAAGGGAGAGGGTGAGAGGGAACACAAGCTCATGAGTGTTTGAGCGACCTATTGATTGGAGTCGGGGTTAACTTGGTGGCAGAGCTCTTGCCTAGCATGCATAATGTCATGGGTTTGATCCCTTGGGAGGCAGGGGCACAAATACCGATAATGATTTTTACAGGAAATAATTATTAAATAAATCTAAAGCAATAAAATTAAACTTAATTTATGTATCATAAAAACTTCATAGAATGAGTGAAAACTGCCCAGTCTCTGCCTGGGGAAAGAATAATTTTTTCTATCTTTGAAGAAATTATAAGCGTGATATTCATGGGAGCACAAAAGATACTTGAAATACTTTGGACCCGCGATGTAACCTAATACTATCTTAATATATGTTTGAGGGACCAAGGATATAGCTCAGCAGTAAAAGCATCTGCCTGCTAAGTGCGAGGTCGCGAGTTCAATCCCTGATACAAAAAAAAAAAAAAAAAAAAAAAAAGTATATATATATATATATATATATATATATATATATACAGCCTCATGTGTCAGATCCCACAAAACCTCCTCAAAAACTCCTACATTGAAGGAGACTGAATAACAGGAAAGATGAATTGAAATACACTCCCAACATGGTACTACCATAAAAAGCAACTAGCATACATATCATCATAGTTATTACTAAAATAGCAGGTATCTAACTAGAATTTTATGGACTGAAATGATCAACAAGATTCATAAAATGAACACTTACTGAATTGTGTAGAAGATACTGTGTTAAGTGCTAGGGTTACAAATATGTCAACCTTAGTAATCCTTCTCGCACAGGCGTGGTGGCTCACGCCTGTAACCCCAGCATTTGGGAGGCTGAGATGGGAGGATCGTTGTGAGTTCAAGACCAGCCTGGGCTACAAAGTGAGCTAAAGGCCAGCCTGAACTGCATAGCAAGACCCTATCTCAAAAAAGATTAAAAAAAAAAAAGTAATCCTTCTCTATTTTTCAGAGTCACTGCAACACTAAAACAAACATCAATCTGACTCTTCCCTTTCACTGAAAATGGATAAACTAAGCTGCATTTTCTATTTTTTAATATGTAGTCTCACCATGTTACACAAGCTGATCTTGAGATGGGTTTAATATTAATTCATGGGTTTAGTATTTCCACTTCAGCCTCCCAAATATCTGGGACTATAGGCACACACCACTATGCCCAGCTTCAGTTTCTCTTTTTAAAAAGAAGTGTCAATTTACTGAAATTTGAAGTTTCTTAGATTAAGAATTTAAATCAGACATGACGGTACACACTAGTTATCCCAGCTACTAAGGAGGCTGAGGCAGGATGACAAGTTCAAGAATAGCCTGGGCAACTCAGCAACTCTGTCCCAAAGTTAAATAAGGGTGGAGGGTATATAAAGCACAGTAGGAGAGTGGCCTGGGTTGTTTAATCCCCAGGACTGGAGAAAAGGGAATTGAATAGCTTTTAAAAGTTGAAGTTTCTCACTATTCTTCCCTATGTTCAAGCATTAATTCCATTTATTTTGCATAAACTAAAGATACAGTTTATCTTTTGTTTCTGTATTTTTTGAAGTATTTTCTCTCGAAATATCCCCAAAATGTACTTAAGAACTTTCCTTTATTTCCTAATACCACGAATATTTGAGTATTTATGAATATGACAATTATGGAGTAAAGGTTTCAGAGACGGCTTTACCTCAGTGTTGTAAACTCAGCTCCTACTCATTCTAATCTATAGGGATACAGCTGTAATAAATGATAAATTATTAAAGTTCTTAATATCATGTGGAGCCAGAGGTGCCATTAATGTAGTCATGCAGTATCCTCAGGGTATAAATTATTTATAGAATGTACAGAGCAATTGC